GATGAAAGGCGAATCGCCAGCAGCCGGTAGGCGGCGGTGCCCTACCTCACCCACCGCACAGTAGCCTCCGTCGGGGCCGGTGGGGATATGGGGAGCATCGTCCCATGTCGCAGAGGTAAGAAGGGTGTCCTCAAGTCGGAAATAAGGCCCCGGAAGTGTATGCTGCGGCACCACAAAAATGCACAGACCCTGCCACAGGTCAGCCTCCTCGTCGTCTGGCAGGGGTGTTGGGCTGGCTCCCATGTAGACATCGCACCCGACACCATCTTGTAGGCCTGCTATACGAAGCAGGGTTCCCTTAGAAGCAGATGCAGGGGCACCATCAGCAAAAACTCTGCCGTCTACTTCGGACAGATCAAAGCACACTACAAGCTCAGAGGCAGCCCATCCTGGCAAAGCTAAGAAAAGGCCATAGCTTTGGGAGGGTTGAGGAACAACCGTAATAATTGCTGGGAAAAGGCGGTCTCTCACAGCATCACGAGACTCCTGAATGGCGGCCACAGCTACCTCGACAGCTACAGGTGGATCCAAGGAGACCAACACAACTTCTGAGACATACTCCGGGGTGAGGAGGCAAGCGACAAAATCGGCAGCTCCTTCAACCTGCGCCTGTCCATCCTCAACAAACTGGTCGGCTATCTCTTGAAGTGCAAAAGGATCATCTGCTGGAAGGTAAGGCCATTCCCTGCCAGCGGCTTCCTCGAAATCGCGAACAAAGAGAAGGTCGTTCCGAGCCGCAGCGCTATGAGAAGTGGGCTCACGCAGGAGCTTGCAAGCGGAGATAGAGCTTTTCGCCAAGCACATCAGGCAGGCAGCATCCGTAAAGGGGGCGCATGGGTCATCCAAGCTGCCTGGGTAGGCAAGGGAAGCAGGGGTGAGCCGGGACTCGTCTTCAGCAAAGACGTCGCGCATAAAGTCCCAAACCCACTTGCACATCTTACCTGCAGGTTTGTAGGCGAAACCAAAGGCGGCAGCATCAGAAAGGAAGGAAAACAGGTTGGGCTCGCAAGGAAACCGGAAATCCACCTTCATGGGCATGACAACTGTCCTTAAGTGTGCCGGATGAGAAGTCAAATGACCACGTCTCTCAGAGCGAGATCGAGTGCGACCAAGGGGCCCGCGACCCTCATGCGAAGGACGGTCATGGCTTCCCCTAGGAGGTGGGCGACGATCGCCATCATACCCCGAACCAGGGCGGGGTTCACCAGCAGAATGAGGGTCAGGGACATCGCTGCAGTCCATGACAAAGAAGGACAAAAGCGAAGCTCCCTCAAGATGGACCTCATCTCCGTCAGTGACCCCATCATCAGTGGCAAGTCGGGTCCCCTGAGGGATGCGAATACCCAGGTTGGCCGAGAGGGAGGGGATGTGCAGGACAGGCACGTGCGAATGCACAACACGGGGGTTATAACCGGCAGCTCGGAAGTCACATAACACGAAGACGTCTCGCCGCCGTTCTCTCGGAGGTGCCTCGCGCGGCGCACTAGGCAACCCAATCAAAGAGAGAATATGCGTGCACGGATGCCCCCGATACTCCAAATCAGGGGTCGCAAAAGCACAGGACGTGCAATCAGGTTCCGCAAGACCGCACGCCGCGACAGCGGCCTCAAGTGCGGTTTGTCCATAGTGGTGATGGGCCGGCATAAAAAACCGCTCGCCATAGTGCTGCACAAGTATGCCTGCGTCGGCTGTTGGAGGCAATATCTGTCCAATAGGGCACCATTCTGACACCCCTGTAAAGAGGTCTGCAGCTAAAGGACGCCTGCCCCACGCACGCGGCTCACGGCAGAAGGTAATTGCATCTCCGTCTTGGAGCACAAGAGGTTGACCTGGCGGGTGGGGACTTACCCGGTCAGCAACATACATGACAAGAGGATTGTCGGAGTGGCTTGTCTGTGGTACCACATAGTCCTCTAACTCTTGGTAGGGGATACGATGCGGCAAAATGCAAGCACAGTAATGACCACCAACCATGCTCATATCGAGAATGACAGCAGACATGCGCTGACCTGGGTAACGTCGGATTGCGGAGGGAAAGCGCAAAAAGGTCCCACTGCTGGGAAATCGCTGGGGCCTGACGGGCACACAAAGTTGCCCTTCACGACGTCCACCCCCAGGAGCATCTTCAGCAATGACATCAAGCACATGCTGCAGGCCGTGACCACGCTGGCACCTCACCGCAACCACAACAGGGCGAAAGTGAGGGGTATAGACATGCACTCCAAGCCAACGACTCCCATCGGTGCTGGCATCCTCTGTCGGCAACAAAGGAAGGTCTTCAGGCAAGCGAGCAAGCCACTGACGCGCAGGAGAGGTGTCTGAGGGATGGTCAGAAGCAGTAAGCTGGGTAGGTCCCATAAAGTGGACAAGGTCTTCGACATGCCGAAGATGCCTCGCAATGCCGGAAAGGTCCGAAGGATGGCCGGGGTCGGTAACAGCATAGCATCCCGTCATCGACATGGCAAGCAGGGACGAACGAGTAAGGCAACCGGCATCGACAGGGCGCGGCAACGAGGAGAAACCAACAAGTAGCATCCACATGCGTAACCCAAAGCAGGGTGGCCGCTGTCCTATGTTCGCCCAGCCTTTAGAGGCAGGGGCCTCCGGTCTAATACTCTGGCGGCAGAATCGACAGCGGCGCGGCGTACGAAGCGGTCTCCAGTCCAATGGCCCGTAGCCTGCTTTGGAAACCAGCCCAAGGCGACCGACGCAACATCCACCGCGGTCAACACCGAGCAGACAGATTCGCCCGAGCGGCGACAGATGGAAACCAAGTTGATGTCCCACCATGCGCAGAAGATCAAGAGAGGAGAACAAAAGGCCTCCAAGGATGCACGCGGCCGCTTGGTGCTCAACCCAAGCAAGGGCCCACCTCATCCCCGGGGCGGCAATGACGAGCCCCATTGCAATGCAGAAAGCCATGCCAAACAAGGCTGATCCGCCTGTAGGTGTTAAACCGACAGGTCGCCCCCAACTCGGGAGACATACCCCAAGTCTCTCAAAGAAGCGGCCGGAAAAGCTGGCAAAGCATTCACTTTCCGACAAGGAAAACAAGCGTCGCGGCAAACAGCCAAGAGCGACAAAGATGAGCGCAACAGGCGTGAGCACAATGCCGGCAAGCGACCAACCACGTTGCACGACAAAGCCGTTCCCGGGAAGTGGTCCCTGAGCCACCGATACCACTTTTAGGCTCCCAGGAGACGGCAGAAAACAGTCATGGATGCAGACGGAGCCATCAAGGCTCAACGTCGGGGAGCGAAACCCCATAAACCCTCCCCAAGCAGGACGGCAAGCCACCCAAACACAAAGGCGAGCACAACAGAGTCCCCAATCCAACCTAGGAAGTGATCCCTGAGCCACCGATATCACTTTTAGGCTCCTAGGAAGGGAAATAGGGAGTACAAAGTGCTCTTCCGGAGAGAGCCCTGCATCAAAATCCAAAACCGAGACGGAGCTATCAGAGCTCAACGTCAATGCGAAAATCCAAGGCCAAGGGCTGTCACCACGTAAGGGAAGAGTTCCGAGGCCACTGTGATGGCAAAGAAGCCAAGAGAAGGATCGCCCTGGGCAAAAAATCCAAGTCAAGCCCAGTGAACAGAAAGGCAAGGAGCAGGGCCCGCACAGATAAAAAGATGCACCGGGGCGATTGGCCGTGCAACTAGAGCAGCCGAGAAGGACCGCAAAAAGAAGACTGGGCTGTACATCAGATCCCTGTACACGCGAAAGAGGCGTCACTGAAGAGCCGAAGGACAGGTCCGGAGAGAAGTACAGCCCGGTAGTCCAGCCGATTGGCAACTGACAACCACCTTGTGAAACACAAAGAGGTGTCGGGCCTACCAGCGGACAGCAAGCCGTACAAGTCTCCATTCCTGCCAGCGGCCCTGGAAGACGGCAGACTACTCCATTGTCGTAAACCCAGGAGAAGCCGCCGCGGCCAGCTCCTCGTCCCCATCGCCGTAAACCAGGTTGACAGCACTGGGGTCTGCCTTTTCCGAAGCGACAGGGCTGCCCAGTCCTGGCGGCTCGGCCAGTGGACGGGGAGTCTTGGGAGGCAGGCCAAAGGGCGCCAAGGCAGAACGATGAGCACGTCGTTTCTCGGAAATGCGTTCTCCCACGCTTGCATGGGCCGTAGCTGGCGTGGGCTCCGTCGAAGCCGGGAGCCCGGAGAGCTGACTGTCCGCGTGGCCACTTGCAGGAACCGCAGCCCGAGACGCGGTGTGTACACCAAAGTGTGCCATGCCCGGCGAGGTGAGATAGGGATCCAAAGGCAGGGGGCCATGATCCTCCTCTACGCGCAGCTCCATCTTGGGAGTGCGAGGCATAGCCTTGGTAGGGCGTGCCGGTGTAACCATGTTCTCGCTGCTTGGCATCGCGGCCTCCGCCGCAGCCGTCTGCATCATACGAACAAGCTCGGCACCCAGAGCAGTGTCGTCTACCTCTTGTTCCACATCCATAGCCGCGGACTGTAGTGCCTGGCCGGTCATCCGTGCTTCGAGGGCAGTCTGACGAACGTTCTGATAAGCGCTCGCTCTTTGGGCTTCCAGATCTGCAATCTCGGAGGCCAAGCGCTGGCCATCTTGTTGATGCCGAGTTTTCTCCTTCTGAAAAGCCTGAATGGACTTGTTGACGTAGGATTTCCACGCCTGGTCTTTGGTATCCAGCTCGTTCCTCAACTTGGAGAGTCGCTGGTCGATTTTCCTGGCCGAGTTGATGGCCTGCTGCACACTCTGAACCAAGCCGGTCGTCCCGGAAGAATCCGTCCTCGTAGAACGGATCTCGGAGATCTGCTCGTCCTGCCGCACATCCTCGTACGCAGGGAATGCAGTCTGAGACCTGGCCTTGCGCTTCGGTTCGCCACGAGGCGACCTGTAAGCATCCGCACCCGACCAATACGTATAGTATTGAGAAGGGGCCCTTTGCTCCTTTTGCCATGGAGGTCGACGGTTCCCTCGGCCCATGCGTATCTCCAAAAGAGACCGCTGGAGGGGTGCAGTCCCGTGATGATCCGCGAGCAGTACAAGTCGAGAGCTTCTGGTGGCCTCTCCCTTAGCAGCTCGTCGGCGTATCCTGGATCTGCGCTTCCTCGCCCGTCTATGCCAACCGGGGGATCGAGCAATGGCTTCGGAACAGAGGCGAGTCGACGCAAAAAGCGCCTGGGGCTCTAGCAATCGGACGTCTGCAGTCCGTCTTCTGAGCCCTCTATTATGCTATAGTTATAATAAGGACCCCCCCCNNAAAAAAAAAAACAATACTATTCTAAATATTCATGAAGGCCCCTACATTTCTTGGCGGAGGCAGCAGAAGGACGCCGCGCACTGGGCCAAGGTGGCGGATATGTTGGACACCAACAACTCAGGCCGGCTCGTAGGGCACAGCCAAGGCTTTCGGGTTCATGATGTAGGGCTTTTGAGAGTTGAAAACCCTAAACCCCAAACCCCCA